GGGGTCCAAATGGGATCTTGTGTAGGGCATGGCATGGTCAGTGGGGTCCCAGTGGCGAGCTGCAATATGGGGAAGATCTCCAAATTCATCTTAAATATCAAATGTGCGAGGATTGGTGGCTTTGGCTTCTCACCGAAGGAAGGAACAGGGAGGATGGAGAGGAGGGATGAGGATGAGGTGCACCCTGTGGGCACCCGTGTGTGGAGGCAGCCAGCAGCAATCAAGGCTTGGTGGCCGCCTCGCTCAAGGCTAAGCACACTCTTAACAAAATAAGTCAATTCACACTGAATAATTAAATAGAGAGCCTTCATAAGTATTGACTTAATGTGACAGCAAGTCTATACTGACTCAGGGTTTGCTTATGTAAACACAATCTCCTGTTCGGCTTAGTTAGCAGTTCAATGAAATAGAACAGTCCTTCAATTAAAATCAAATGATGCGTGTGTTTAATTCTTCCCTTCTCTTGCCGGGTAATGATAGGCTTTGGGCATAGGCAAGGGGATAAAAAAAAAAATAATCATTGAACTGCTCTTATCTGTGATGAATCAAAACGCAGCGTCCCAAAAATACATCTGGATGAACAAACTTCTTGCTTAGCGGCTCCCAGCTCAGCCCTGTGTCTCTCCATCCATCCTCAGTTCTCTTTTTCTCTTGTCAGCTCAGCTTTTCCTGCTCTGTAGTTTGGGGTTCTCCTGTTGGAGAAGTGAGCAGGGTGGGTGGAGGGGACCTGGGGTTTCTTTGTGTTCTGTTGGGCTTTGCATCTTGTAGCCTTGCGAGCATCTGCTGCCAGGGGTGAGACATGTTCCTGATGCACATCTCCGTGCTGGTGTCTATTAAAGCCATTTTTCCTTGGTCCCTGTAAATTGCCTGTGAAAAACACGTCTTGAGTAATCTCGGACGTTTTCTGCATGAAATATTCAAGAGCCTGATATCGTTTGCTTTGATGGATAGTGAGTTATCACCAGCGCAGGGCTCAGGTTTCTTACAGGCATGCGGTGATGGGAACAATTAGCACCCAATTAGGCACCTTGCATCTGTTGCGGGGAATTTTCTGCTTAGAAATTGCGATGTGCCAACAAGCAGAAAGAAAACCAACCATCAAAGCCCTCTGCTGTGCAGGTATCTTTGAATATCAGAGGGAGGTGTCGTGCTGGATTCCTGCACACAGCAACGCAGGCAGAGAGCAGTGGGACGGATGGGATCCCTGCAGCGGGGCACAATGAGCAGGGGATGAGGCACCACGAGTCCTGGGTGCTGAGTCCTGATGCTCCAGGATGGGTGCAGAAGGGCTGGAAAGAATCTAAAGATGAAAAAATGAAGGGTTGGCTTGGAGGGGTTTGTGTTTTTGGGGGGGATGTATGAGGGTCAGCTGGAGTTGGGCAGGGAAAAGCAGCAGCAAACCCTTGGCATCACCCACGTCCTCCTACCCCAGCCATCAAACGTTTTGTAGCTGCATCAAAGGGGAACAGCTTGGGAAGCCCAAGCTATGAAATCAGCGCTCAGGCTGGCTTGAGGATGCACAACTGTAGAAAATCACTGTTCTTGCTTCTCCCTTCTCCTCTCCTTCGTGTCCTCGTGGCTGCGCTCGCTCCTCCTGTGCTGACCCCCAGCACTTTGAGGCAGGGGCTGGCCGAGCCCACCTGCCACCCCGCGTAACAAGGCAGCCCTTGGCACAGACCCCTCTGTTTCTGCTCAGATGCACTTGGCTTCGGCTCCATCCCCCTTTCGCCTGGGCACTTAAAAGCAGAAATCTGAGAAGCCATGGGCTGCTTCCAGCAAGGTTTATTCCTGGCAGTTAGAGCCTCATCCACCGACTCCAAACTCATTGTATACAACGGAAAGAGTGACATCTGGCTTGGATATTCTGGAAAGATTACCAGCTGGCTTGTCATGTATTATGAAAAGAATAACATTTGCCTTAGAGGATGCTACAAGCCAGGAGCATGGCCCCAGGGATCAGCATGACAAATTTTTGTGGCACTCCGTGATGAACTTGCCACAGTTCTTTAAGAGAACTGACGTGCCTTCGCCTCTGATTTGGGGAGAGGAATGATGTTAGAAAATCTTATCTCCTGCAGAGCAGAGGGGGAGGCCAAAATCCTATGGGAGGGAGTAGGGATAGAGATTTGCTGCAGCGCAAAGCCTGTGTGGGCTTTCCCTTCTTCTCCATGTTGAAAATGGGAGCAAGACCCCAGCTTTTCCTATGCAGATGAGCAGACATCCCCACCTGCAAGGCTCAGAGGTGCAGTAGCACGATAGAAAGCACAGCAATGATAGCAGAACAGTGAGGTCCCAGGCTACAGCAAGCGAGGATTTGCTCAAATGAGGGCAGGGAAAGGGTGAATCCTGGCTCCAGCCCTTCGGGTCACTCAGTGCATTGCATTGCATGCACCTGAGCTCCCCTGGGTTGGCCCTGCCTTCCCACCAGGTGCTCCATCACTGCTTCAAGCCATGACCCAGCATTTCCACTACAGGTGCGCTGCTGCTATTTGTCAGCACTCCCCGTGTGCCATGAGGCAATGGGGCTGAATCTGCCCCCTCCTTCCCCTTAGTGCACTTGAGACCCACGGTGCTGAGAAGCGTTGGATAAACGCAAGGTATTTCTGCAGAGCCCTTCTGCCTCGTTCAATCACCGCTTCATTTGTTCCTCCATTTAATTTGATCAAAAACCTCCCGAAAACAAATCATTCCTATTTAAAAAACAACACAATTTCCAGCCTTCGCTTCCATCAGTTCTTATGGCTCCAGGCAGGTAGCGCGGGATGATTCAATCACTGCTTGGACAAAGATGACATTTAATTAAGAAGGAAGGGAAAGGAAGGAAGGAAATAATGTATGCCTCCTTCTTTCTATATGACGTGCGAGGAAAGGAACGGAGGAGATTTTCTCTTGTGAAACGTGAGGTCTCATCTCCGGTGTCAGCAAATCAGCAGTTCCTCCTTGTGATTGAGATCCAACGTGGGCCACAGCTCAGCCTCACGTCCATTCATTTGGTGCCCAAATCTGTGGGGAAAGCTCTGCGTCCATCTGTCTGCCCGCACTGTCCGTCCGTCCTCTCCTCCATCCTTCCCCTCCTCCTCGGCCCTCGCGCCGTTCATCCATCCCAAGCGTTGTGCTGAGGCTGAATGCACACCGTGGGATTTTATTTCATTTCTTCTGGTGTGGATTTGGTTCTGTCAGCAATGCTGGGGGACCGATACACCCAAATACAACCACGTTTCCATCCTCCCTGATGTCTGCACTTCCACAAGTGGAGGAGGGCAGTAGGCACATAGGGCAGTAGGCACATAGGGCAGTAGGCACGGGGGCCCATCCCTCTCCTGGGTTTTCTGCTTTGTTGTTTTCCCGTCTCAGTCCCAAAAGGGGAAAAAAAATATGTCTCTCAACCTTTAATTGCACTCTAAGCTTTCACGTTTTAATGGGAGATGAAAACAAGTAGTCAGATTTTACAGTCATGTAATGATGCTGGGAGCAGCATGATGAGACGGCGACGTTGATGGGATGTTGGCAGCGTGGTGAGGGGAGGGGAATGGGAAGCAGCAACGGATGGAGATGAGTGTCCCGTGCTCAAGGCTTCGTGCAACTGCTGAGCCTCCAGCTCTCCTCTATCTCTCCTCTATCCCATTTATTTTTATTTTTTACTCTTAAGATTTTGCTCCCTCATTGCAGAAGCGTGAAATCCTGTTTCCTCTCTCTGCACTCTGCCCCCAGGTCCCGACTGGCTGATTTCCACGCCAACTGCCAGGCCTCCTTCCAGTCACTGACCAGCTGCCCTGGGGACAACTACCAGGCGTGCCTGGGCTCCTACACAGGGCTCATTGGTGAGTGCTGTGATGGGTGGGAGAGAGCTCCCTCCAGCCACAACCCCTCCCTGAGCCTTCATTTCCTCTTCCTCATCCGGTGCAGGTTTTGATATGACGCCCAACTACGTGGACGCCAGCACCACCAGCATCACCATCTCGCCCTGGTGCTCCTGCAAGGGCAGTGGTAACCTGGAGGAAGAGTGTGAGAAGTTCCTGAGGGACTTCACTGAGAACCCCTGTCTCCGTAAGGCTCTCCCCCATCCATCCCACCCCATCCCATCCCATCCCATCCCATCCCATCCCATCTCCATCCCCATCCCATCTCCATCTCCATCTCCATCCCCATCCCATCCCATCCCATTCCTAAGTCCACATGTCAACACCTTCTCCTGCCCTCAGGAAATGCCATCCAAGCCTTTGGCAACGGCACTGATGTCAACCTTTCCCCCAAGAACCCCTCACCTCCCATCACAGTGCCTCCCAAGATGGAGAAAAGCCCTGCCTTGCCTGATGACATCAACGACAGCAACACCATGTATGACACGAACATCATCACCACCTGCACCTCCATCCAGGTAGGAACTCTGCAGCTGACTGGTTGCGCTGATGCAGGGAATTGTAGAATCATTAAGGCCGGAAAAAACTGCTGGGATCAGCAAGTCCAACCATCAACCCATCACCACCATGCCCAGAGGATCACAGAATCGTTCAGGTTAGAAAGTCATCAAGTCAACTGTCAACCCATCATCACTGAGCCCACCAGCTCAGCTCAGCACTGGATGCGGTCTGGATGGGCTGTTGGTACCCCACGTGCGTGGCCACCACAGTCCTTCTCCGAGGGGCTCTGCAGCAGAGCCACTGCTGTGCCTGGTGAATGCTGTGCACACGGTCAGCATCGCCTTCACCCACACAGCATCACCCGTGGGCAGCCTCCGGTTAGATCCGTCGTGCTTGAGTAATCAGCTCTGCAGTTTTCTGGTTCATGGCTCTGTGAGACGATCGGCGGCTCCATTTCCCTGCCCCCTGGGTGCTGGGGGAAGGAAACTGGGAGCACTGGGGGCTGAGGTGCAAGAACAGGAGGATCTGTGCTCTACTCCGTGCTCAGGACCTGCTCTGAGCCCCACTTATGCCCTTGGCTTGGTCAGGATGAAAATCAATTATGCTCCATGTTATTTTGGGCAATCTGGAATAGGTGCGTTTTCTTGCATTTTGCTGCCTTGCTGCTTTGCTCTGGGGTGGGAGCAGGATGGGGACATTGCCTTCTACGTGGGAGGATTTGCAGCAGGGCATGGGCCTGGGGCTGAATGCATGCTTGCAGCTTTTGGTTGCAAAAAAAGAAAGTAATGAAGTGTGTAGCAAAGATCCCGAGCCACCTGGGGTGCAGCTCTGTGTGCACGAGCGTGCCCTGAGTCTCCTTTCTCTCCTCCAGGAGCACGGACAGAAGCTAAACAAGTCCAAAGAGCAGAGCCTGTGCTACTCAGAGGTAATTTTGGGCAGGGGAAGGGTTGGGAAGGGGGTCTGGTGCTGGGAGCTTCAGTTGTGTGGGGACCTGTCACCAGCAGATGGATGGGGACCCATGGACTCTTGTTAAGAAAGAAAAAAAAAGTGATGTGTCCCAAAACTGAATGCTTCCCCCCCAAATTCTGAGCGCGCTGCTGATCCGCGCTGTCCCCCATCCCAGACCCAGCTCACCACAGACACGATGCCAGACCAGAAGACCTTTGTGGACCAGAAGGCAGCCGGCAGCCGGCACCGTGCGGCCCGGATCCTTCCAGCTGTGCCCATCATGCTGCTGAAGCTGCTGCTATAGGGAAGATTGCCGCATCTCAGCGGGAGCGCTGGGCTCACCTCGGGCTCCAGACTGCAAGCGGAACACCAGCGATGCCCAAGGCCAGAAGGACCCTCACAGTGCTGGGAAACTTCGATGGTTTTCTTTTTCTTTTTCCTTTTTATTTTATTTTATTTTTTTTTTTGGCCTTTCTGTTCGTTTCATGGTGCGTTGGGGTTTCTACGCTCGAGCGCTCGCCCGGCACGACCCACCTGGGCACCCACAAAAGGGAACCGACGCGATCAACGGCACCGGGGATGGGAAAAAGGCACCGAGCGGAGCTCTGGGACAGGGGCTGCCTGCAGGGCCACCAACCCAGCGTGCTGCAGGGACCCGCTGGGGACGTGGGACGTTTGCGCATCGCCGCGGCACGGCGCTGCCACTGGGGCTCCTTTGGGCACAGGCTGAGCTCCGCCGCTCCACGTCGTCCCCGGGATCATTTCCTTTTCCTTTCCCCTTGGTTGGTGAGAGTTTTAAAATCAGAAAAGAAACCAATATTCAAACGGTGTGAGGTTGTCCTGATGTTTTCTATCTGCCACTCGGAGGGGAGAGATTTTCCTTTGTATTATTTTCCTTCGCTTTGTCTTCCCCTTTAATCCTTGTTTCCCATCTTCATTCCATCGGATTTGGTTGGAATGGGATCCAACCCCAGCAGCGGTTGGAATCCCACCTATGTTACTCAGTTCTCTTTTATATATACATATATAGCATATGTATATAGCACTCACCTATACCTACAGATACGTATGTAGATACATAACCATGTACATCTATGGCGTGGCTTCCTAAGATTTCCTTTCCTCTTTCTTTTCTAAAAAGGAAGCGCTCAAACGGGCGGCGGCTACAAAATGTATTATTGTAAAGTTTATTTTTTTTAAGCGATGTCTATAATGGAAATTAATAATAATAATAATAATAAAAAGAAGAAGAAAGAACCAAGAGGGAAAACAAAGCACCACCCCTAGGGGAGGAGGGGGTTCGCGTCCCATAGAGCATCCCAAGCCCTGGTGCTGTGCTGGGGGGATGCTCAGCTATAGGAAGGCACAGATTTGGGTCAGTCCCAACGTCTTGCAGCGCTGCAGACGAACTCCCTGGCTGTTTGGCTCTGGGAGATGAGCAAACAAGCAAACATTTCAAAGGAGCTGACACGTTTTTTGTTTTCTGTTTAAATGTGAAATAGCTTTGTTTCTGAAAGCACCTCTTCCCTTTGTGCTCCTTTTTTTCGCCCCCCCAGCGCCTTAAAGCCCAAAAGAAAGGTTGAAATCTGGGTCACACAAAACCTCGTGTTCCTCCTCCCCCCTTCCTCAATCAGAAGTCCTTTTCCCATCTTGGCGCCACGGAGCAGCAGCAGCACCAACCTGCAGGCAGCGGGGCTCCAAGGCTGCCCAGACCCCACTGCAAAAGGAGGGGCGAATATTCCCCACTGCAAAGCAGGGAACGAAAACACGTTTGATGTGCAAGTTGGCACGGGGAAAATAAACATGTCACGTCTCTCGCCGGAGCTGTGCTGCAAACCCAGGCTGCTCTTTAACATATTCTCTCCTCTAACAGCCAGGAAAATGACAGCTCTGAAATAGAGAGCCAGATGTGCTAAGCAGTTTGGCACCGGGGAAACATCAGAATGTCTTGGCTTGGGGGTGGGGTTGGGGGTGAGCCCAGCCAAAATGCGCCCTGGTTTGGGTATTTCTGCGGGAGGAACAGCGTGGTGATGCATGCAGGGAATGGCCTTGAGCTCCTCATGGCTCGAAACACCCCAGGCTTCTCTGCTTCTCCGCTGCTGAGAAAGCTCGGAAGGAAATCTCCCTTCTGATGCCCCCATTTGCCAAATGTTTCCCTATCCTGACCCCATATGTCACTCTGATGTTCCTATCTCCCCGCTCCCTGCAGCTCTTGGGTTCTCCATTGGCATCAGGGAGCATCCAGTGTGTGGCTGTGGGCATCGCAGGGGTTTTGGTGGAGCGCCCACAGGGAAAGCAGAGCAGAGCTTGGGGCTGCTCGGGTAGCTGTGCTGTGCTGGGTCCAAGGGGCAGACGTTGTGTTGCTGTGGGATGCTCACCTGTATGGGATCGATGGGACCTATGCATCCATGGGGTCTGTGGGATCGATGTGACCTATGTGACTGATGGGATCTGTGCAGTTTTGGGACCCATGAGACCTATGGGGTCTGTGCGCTTCTGGCATCTATGGATCTGTGAGATCTATGCGCCTGTGGGATCTATGGGACCCATGAGATCTGAGTTCTATGGGATCTATGGGCCCTATGAGTTCTATGGGATTTGTGGGACTCATGAGATCTATGAGATCTGTGGGATCTATGGGACCTATGAGTTCTATGGGATCTATGGGACCTATGAGATCTGTGGGATTTGTGGCACC